CTGTTGTATACTGTATTTAAGGGATTTTTCATATAGATTATTTCCTAATCTTGGAATCCATTGACAAGTTTTATATGCCGCTACACTTGATTAACCTTTCTGTTTTTAAGCTAATTTAATAAATAATCAGTACTGCACAGGGTGGGTGCTCTGTCTACCACATGTGGAAGAAGGCGCCCCACTCAATACAACCTCTAAAACAAGAAGATGAATAGTTAAGCACAAATTTAGTCATTCTAGATGGCACCAGATACCAACGAGAGATCACTTTAAAATTGGTTTTGAGAGCCATCGCATTTAGGGCTGGTTCACACCAAATCCGGACCATATCTGCACGAGTTTCTGCACGTGCAGTGTGTTTTGACGCGTTCCGTTCTTTAAAAAAATCTTAAAATGGGCTTTCAGTGTGTTCCAAGGCGTTTGCATCCATTTTGGTGCGCTCCAGAGCAGAAAAAATAGGACATGCTGCAGTTTTTCCACGTGCTTGGGAACTGAACGCTGTGGTGTGAACTAGAGCCCAAAATACCATTGGAATACATTGACTGCATTTTGGATGCATTCTGTAACTGCTCTGCATCAGCTCCGCACTTGGTATGAACCAGCCCTTATAGAGCATTTTTCAGAGATAGACCAAATTTGATCCCAGTCAGAATCCTCCAAGGGAACCAGCAGGATTTGTTAGGAGCCAGCTCCATTGATAACAAATATAGAAAACCTCAGGGCCTGGCTGTAATTTATAAGGCATATTGCCTACCTGGCTCCTGGGATTTGTCTGGCCCTGTCATAAGATGCTTGTATCCCTGCATAGAAAGATCTTTCTGACATGCAGCTTTCACTGAAGTTAAACTACTTGTTTTTTCATCATGTTTTGAGTGAATTGCCCAAATTTCTGACATCTATTTTAAATCGTTACACAGTTGTTATTATTAATTGTACCCAAATTACACAATTATCTTCATAGAAAATGCAGTAATCCTAAAACATTTTATGTACATAGAATGTAGAAAAGCTGCCAGAGCTGTGTGTTATGTTTTTTTGTTTTTTTTTACCTCAGCAAATGCAAGTGTTGTCATGTTTTGACTGCTCTCATTACATGTGTTCTCACTCTTTCCTATTTTAGAAAGTGTTGATGAAACTGAGAAAGCCTAGAGTAACCGCCACAATCTGGTCATCTGGAAAAATTATTTGTACAGGAGCCACCAGGTAAAACATTTCTTCAGATGTCATCAGGACAGGCCTTGTAATGATAGGTGAATGAAGTTGTATTGTTGCGAGTCAGAATATAAAATGTACTCATTTGGATAGTTTATACATTACTAGGCTACGTTCTATTACATTTAATAATGCAAGACCTACTATACTATGGTCATAGAAGGGGAGTGGAGAGGGTACAAAAATCCCTATTAACCAGGTTTCAGTTGCTATGATCTAGTAATGTGATACACACATCTACCTGATCTGGGTTACACCA